TAATAGTATAATAAATTAATTTTATGTTAAGTTTTGAACAAGTAATGAGCTGTGTTGTAGTGACAAAGTACTCTAATACTATCTATAAGTGTTGTGTTCCATCTCCATTATAAATATTATATGGCGTATTTTTGTTACACCGAAATTTACCCTTGTCCCAGGACAAGGCCCAGAGGGCCTGCCTCCGCCAATGAGTTATATGTATTACACCGTTTTCATTTCGTTGTTGGTGTTTGTGAGTTAACGTGATAATTTGGGCGAAGAACCTGAACGAAGATTAATGCATGTAGTTCGTAGCAGAACAAACTTTTTTTTTTTTTTTTACATATATGTGGTTGCATTCACATGATTTTTTTAGTTAGTTACTGCTATTCATATAGCAGAAGAACAGAAGTTAATTTGACACATATGGTGATTAATTCACTATTTCCGGATTAATTCACTATTTCCGAGTCTTGAGTTTGAAACGATGCTTGTTGAGTTGACAAATAAATTAGATGATTTGTCAAGATATCGTCTCTCATGACAAGGAAATAAGACGACAACTAGCAAGTATTGAAAACCGAGTCTTGACTTTGCCGTCGCCAAAAGAATGGTTTGGGCTAAGAATTCTGGTAAACGTTTTAACCAAAAAAAAAAAAAAAAACGTACTTCAGCATTGATTTCGATTATCTCCACATGAACCATGCTTCAACAATCAGCATCTCTACTTTGTCTCCGTGCTGTTATTTTCTATCTCCTCCAGCTTTTCGATCCATGAGGGGAGGGGACCGTTTGAAATTTAGGCCATGATTATCAATGACATAATTGAAATCCGTGCATGCCACCCAAATTAGTTGGCATTAATTGGATATATAGGCTTTCGTAAGTAATGAAGCTTACCAAATTTACGATGTAAGGTTACTTGACTTCTCCCCCATGTCTGTAGTTATTGAGACTTGACAGGATAATGGAATTATATATAGTTATAAAGATAGATAGGTTTCATATTCGATTACGCTCACGGCCCTCGCTATTGATTTAGGGGTCGTTTGGTTTTGGTGATTGTTTGGTTGGGATAGTTACAATCTATGCATACAAAGATTCTTCGTGATTCAGATTGGATTAGGGTGAAGTTCACTAATCGAAAGTTTAACAAGAAGGCGGACTGGGTCGCCGGCAATTGTCGACTGAATTTTCTCCCTACTGATTGGATCACTGTTCTTTGTATTATCTCTCCTTTGCTGTAACCTCCTTCCCGTTTCAGGGGTTTGAATGAAATGAAGTTTATATTCAAAAAAAAAAAAAGACCACAACATATCATTTTTTTGAATTTTCTGCACAAACAATACATGCATTGTTTGCTTGATTTGACGGAAACTATCACTCAAAATGAGTGATAGTTAAACCTCAAGTTTTTAGTGAGATTGTTGAGATTATTTGATTGAGATTGTCATTATGCATGTATTGTTTACAATGCATCGTTTTTTTTTTAGCAGAAACAATACATGGATTGTTTCTGTGATGTGACAGAAACTATCACTCATTTTGAGTGATTGTTATATCTCAACTTTTAGTTGTGATTGTTGAGATAGTTGAGTTGAGATTGTTTTGTCTCAGCTTTTAGCTTATGCGACATACACAATCTCACATACCAAACGTTGTATTCTACAATGCATCAAATTCGACAATACATGTATAATATTATACATGCATTCTCAACAATACATCTATTTAACAATCGCAACTTCCAAACGACCCCTGAGATTATAGTGGAATTATAGTTGTACGGGTCGTTTGCTTGAAGGTTTTTGTGATGGATTTGGGCATGGAAAACCATCCATCATGGATTTGCACTAAAAACCATTGTTTGCATTAGGGATTTAGTAAATTGAAATCTGTGGGGCCCACGGACTTTGGGGGTCCAAATCCGTGGGCCCCATGGATTTGGAGGTTCCAGCTATTGAGGTGGGTTTTTATCATGGATTGAAGTCCATAATGTGTAATTACACCCTTGTCCCTGCCATATTTTGTTATTGCCAGCAGTGCCCTTCTGTTTATCCTTTCCGAAATTTTGGCAGATAAAAGAGTGAAGCTTCTGTTTGCGAGCTGCGAGGGAAAATTGCGAGGGAAAAAAACGCGAGGGAAGGAAGTCGACTCCAACAGAGAAACTTCTCCTCCGTCGCTATCTCCGATCTTCTTCTCTGTCGTAATCTCCGATCTTCTCCTTCGTCGCTGCAACCAGGTATGCTTTCTATCGTTGCTTCTCATCTGTGTCTTTCTTCCCCACGAACCCTAGATCAAAGCTTGGCCGATCTTTTGTGATGTTGTGAGTGTATTGAAGTTTTAATATTCCATCTCTCACCTTGAACTCCACAGCCAGTAGTGTAGAGTGTAGACCCCCAAAACCTTACCATAGACCGACCATTCCTCCTTCCTACAGCTGCTGTCCGCCATTTCTATTTCCCCCACCGCTTACCGCCATGGAAACTGAATTCCGCTTACCGCCATGGAAACCCACTTCCGCCCTCCCTCTTTGGTTACTGGGTAGCTCTTTGTTCCTCTTGATCTGAACTTCAAATGGAGCAAGTCCCCTTCCTGAGCCTATATAGTACCTACTGCTTTTTTCCCATTTCTTCTCCTTTTTTCCCAATTCTTCTCCCAAGGCAGAGCATTCCCAAGGCAGAGCATTCCCAATTCTTCTCCTTTTTTCCTAGCCTTTCTTTCTCTGGGGCATATAAACAATTTGGGGCTCATTCCTCATGCTTCTCTTTCTATGCAAGTAGCTCTATCTGAAGAACCCTCCTTTGTTACTTCTTCAGTTTGAGTTGACCATTGCCGGAGCATTTATTTTTACTGGTTTTCTTCATTCTGCAGAGTCAAGCTTTTCTCTAAGCTACTTCGATAATAAGAATATAAGGCCTCCATCTGTATTGTTTGAAGCTGAACCATACAAAGAAATCTCCTTTCTGTCTGAGTTTATAAAGTTCAGTAACTTATTGATAGATGCTTCTTGTATGTGAAATTACTTTCTTGTTTTAACTGAAATTCGAAAGCTAACTGTGTGTTATGGTTTGTGACATAAATGTTGTGGCTCCATTGAGAGTTCTTTATGGTTTGTGACATAAATGTTGTGGCTCCATTGCTATGGAAAGTTTCCTGATTGTATGCTGTAATGCTTCTTTTGATGTTAAGGCTATGGCTCGATTGAGAAGAAAATCTAATCAAGTGCAGAAACGGAACACCGTGAAGGCTATTAGGATTGTTTTAACCTTGTTACTTGTCTATGTGTCTTTGCTAATTAGATATCTTGAGCTATTAGTGATGAAAAAGTTAAAATCCAGACCTCGGAATACCCCCTTAGATAGCATATTTGACCGTCAACATGATAGAATGAGATATATGAGACGAGTACTTGATCTATCCGATACTCGTTGCATTGATAGTATTAGGATGAGTCGTAGTATGTTCAAGAGGTTGTGTCATCTACTCGTCCGTGAAGGGGGGTTAGAACGTTCAGATGATGTCGATATAGAGGAGATGGTCTTGATGTTTTTAGTTACCATCGGGCACAACAAGAAGAACAGAATGCTACAAGTTGACTTTTGTCGTTCAGGACAAACTATCTCCAAAGTTATTCATAGAGTCCTACGTGCTGTACTTCGGCTGCATCCTATTTTACTCCGCCGACCATCAGCTATACCAGAAAATTGTACTGATCCTAAGTGGAAACACTTCAAGGTCTGTTAATTATTTGAATTTTCTTTAACTTGCAAGGTTAGTTGCAATTACTATCCTAAAACAGCTAGTTTTTCTGTGGTAAAGGGTTGCTTAGGGGCACTAGACGGGACACATGTGAGGCTGCGTGTTAGGACAGAAGATAAACCTAGGTATCGAGATCGGGAAGGGCATATTACAATGAATGTTTTGGGAGTGTGCAACCCAAACCTCGAGTTTATATACTGCTTAGCTGGATGGGAGGGTTCAGCCCATGACGGAAAGGTTCTTAGAGATGCATTGGCTAGGCCAAATGGACTACGCGTTGAGAAAGGTAATGTAGCCTTTTAGAAGGAACTAGACATTCTGAAAATAAACCTTACTTCCACTGATTAGTTCTTACATGTTTCTCATTCAATTTAATAGGAAAATACTACTTGGTAGATGCCGGGTATAGCAACTCTGAAGGGTTTTTAGCTCCATATCGGGGTCAAAGGTATCATTTGAAAGAGTGGGGAGGAGGTAATAGACCATTAACAGCTGAGGAGTACTTCAATATGAAGCATGCCACAGCAAGAAACGTTGTCGAGAGGATTTTTGGTATTTTGAAAATGAGATGGGCCATTATTAGAGAAACCAGCTGGTTCTCCCCTGAGGTTGTTACACTATTAGTGAATGCATGTTGCTTGCTGCATAATTTCATCAAGCTGGAGCAGGGAGTTGACACTTTTGAGAGAGATTATAGGGACCAAGAACCTGAGCAGCATCCTTCATCTGTTGTGGAAGAAATTGATCTAGTCTCTGGAGTATGTCCTTCACAAAGTTGGACTCATTATAGGGATGCGAAAGCAGTAGACATGTGGGAGAATAGAAGTGGCAGATGATGTATTGTATGTATTTAGCGGTTGTATGTTATGTTTCATGTACTTGCATTTTCTATTTTGACTTTTGCTGCATGTATCAGTGGTTGTAACAGTATGCAGTAGGATCTGAATTGTAAAGACATATTTGAATGCTAAATATAATTCTACTTGTTTGTGATATAGAGTGGTTGTGGTATGGTGTGCATTTATGTTCTTTTGCTGTTGTCAATATAGAGTGGTTGTGCTTTGCCATTTGGCAATAAATGCTACTGTCATTGAATGAATGATACTGTAGGTTTTCTTTAAAGAATGCTTTTATGTTTGTTTTATTGTAGGATGGCAAAGAAGAGAAAGCAGGTGATACAGGTTGAAGGAGAAGTTCAGCCTACAGGCCCCTACTTCTCGTGGGATGAGAAGCTTAATGCATTGCTCATACAATGCATGGTGGAGTTAGTACAAAGACATCAAGTTGAAAACGGTTCCTTTAAGAATGGGACCTTTTCTGAGCTCCAAACCATGATGGAGGAGAGGGCTCCAGGTTGTGGTGTGCAGGTTGAACCGCATATCCGTAGCAGACACAAGAAGTTGAAGAAGGACTTTCATGCAGTACACTTGCTGAAAAATCAGAGTGGTTGTGGGTGGGATGTTTCAACCTCTACTCCAACACTAGATGATGACGTTTTTGCAAGTGTAGTTAAGGTAAGCTATTACATATATGTATCACGTGGTCTTTGTATATATTTATATTGTTAGTCATTCTCCTCTGATCACAAGTGCCTCATTGTAGGTTTTCCCAAACTGCAAAAATATGAACAGGAAGCCTTTCCCATTCTATAATGACCTATTGAAAGTGTTTGGGAAGGTTGGACCTGCCAATGGGAAGAAGACTGTTGGTCTGACTGATGATGTTGACTCCCCAGTGGTCGATGTACCTGCATTTGTTGACTTGGATGGGCTTCAGACGCCGAGTGTAGAGAGGTTTATGGAGGATTTGATAAATGAAGGGATTGAGAGTCAGAGGGTCACTCCTCCATCTCCAGCAGTTGTGCCTCCACCTCTAGCTGCTGTTTATCCAGGAGAAGGGAGCAACAAGAGGGCTAAGAAGATAGAGAGTAAGACCGATGATGCTATTGCTGTTGTAGCTCAGGAATTGTGTGGATTGAAGCCTGTCATATCCAAGGCACTAGATGCTCTAGGCACCATTACAGAAGACCGTGAGGAAGACACTGGAAAGGAAGCTGCATTGATGGCTGAGATTGCTAAAATAGAAGGCCTTGAACGCTGCCAAGTGCTAGATGCTGCTATGGCATTAGTTGAGAATGATCGCAAGACAAGACTTTTCTTCTCTCTTGATAATGAGGAGGATCGAAAGTACTTCATTCACAACTTACTGCGTTGAGAAGTGCTGATTCATGGGAGCTATTAGCTATAGTATGTTGTGTCGTATATATGTATGCAGTGTTGTACATTTTGAACTGAACACATATAGTATGGATAGGAAACTCGACCTCTTATGCAGAGCTTACTCAGAGAAGCTAGCATGCAACTGTTAAAGTAGGAGGTCGATTATTTTTGGAAAGTTTCCAAGCCATTCCAATATGTGTCGAAGAATTGGCTATGTAATCAGTTTAAGTTGTATATTTCTGACTTGTTAATATATGCAGGTTATTTATGTATATATGCTGCATTCTTATAATTTTCATATCCATTGCTAAAGACTATAGCTTGATCTGTGATATGTAGAAAGCAGTCTTTTTATGGTGAATGATCACAAACTCTACTATCCATGTCTGCAATTTTTTGGGTTGATCAAAAAGCAGTATCAAAGCTACCTAAAGAACTATCTGCAGAAACCAAATTCAAGTATCAAAGCACCTCATTTCATTACTCCTTAAATATTCCATTACACAACTCTGCTTCTCATTAACAACACTCTAACAGGTACACATTAATAGAAACTTACACCAATAAACAAATCCATGGGATCACTCTAACATAGCACAAAATTGCAGCACTAAGCAGCCCTGGATTCTAATTTGAAACACCCATATAATCATTTGAGCTTTGAACTCCCAGCCTCCAACTGGTCCAACCTGAGCTTAATCGACTTAATGGCAACAACTATCTCTTCGTAGGATGATATCACATTCTTGCTTTCAATTCCAACATCAACACTATGCTTGGACACTCTGTCTAATGCAGCACGAAGATCTGCATTCTCCAGCTGCAAATTCGAAACCATTTCACCAAGCCTTTTCCTCTCCTTGTATAATGCAGCTTTAATGTCATGCCATTCAAAATAATCACAGGGCTCCTTCTTCTGTGTCCACAAACATGCTACGAGTCACTATCTCAAACAAGACAGAACTAATTCACCTAACAAGCAAAGGTTCGAACACAATTACCAAAACTCAAACCTTAGAGCCGAACAATGGACAACCGAAAAATTTTCGATTCGGGTTGGCAACAGTATGTGAAATTCTTCGAGAAGCTCTCAGCCCACAGTGGCATAATACCTCTTCATCCTCGTAATAGAATTCATCAATCCCTTTCTGCCCCTTTCCCTTGCTGGCCATGATAGTCTCTCTTGGATTAAGAAACACAAACAGCAAATGATATAGTTGCTGGTTCTAATCAACCAGAAAGAGTATATACAGAGATTCATAATAAAAAAAGCAAATAAAGAGCTGAGTTCCAAATCTCACCTGAATGTTGCAGTAGCTGTTGGAGCCCGTCGACGGAAATTGTCAACAAATGAGAGTTCGCCGGTAGACAGAGGTTGCCGGCGGAAACGAGATTCCAATAGCGGCTGGAAATAGTTCTCGATCTACAAAGGCAGCTCGTGGGGAAAGGGAGAATGAGAAAACATCTTTGTGGGCTGCAATTTGTGTGGCACCCATAAAACAAATAATTGTTAATAAGGGCAATAAGGTCATCTCACTTTATATCCTATAAATCTAATTAAACACAATCCATAATAAAATCCATGAAACAAACAATGGTTTTTCATAAGTCCATAATGAACCCAAAACCCTTATAAGTCCATGGTTTATCAAAACCTTCGTTTTATCAAAACCTTCGTTTTTCAAATCCACGACGCAAACGACCCGGTAACAATAGAGAGGTTTCATAGATTACGCTTACGGCTCTCGCTATTAATTTAATTGTTGTTTCAAACACAAAATATGATCTTTAACACTATATATGTAAAATTCGAACAGATAAATTAACTTTCGAAAGATGTGTTTACTTGGTTCCATATCATATATATAAGATCGTGGACTCGTCATAGCTCCTTCTCGTGTTGGGCTGCAAGATGATAGAAAAATTATGGTAAATATTTTCATAATGTAACAAAAAGTTATAAAGAAATGTCCTTAACCTAATCTTTGATCCCCCATCTAAAGTGATTGATTGCATAATAATTAATTATGAGTTTATGACAGCCATATATCCATTTGGATGGGTCGTTGTAGCCCATCATAAATTGGTTGAATATCTCAATCAAAACAAATATGTTGGATGGAAAGACAAAAAAGTTGTTGATACTCATTTATACACTTGCTATGGTTCTTCGAGACACCACACCATGCTTGCCCTGATCACGTATGGTTTAATGGTTATGGTCAATCAGTAAACCCATGTTGTCTTATCATCTAAATGTCAAGAAATGGGCGAGACTTCTATACAAGTAGGGCTGCAAATGAGCCGAGCCGAGTCGAGTTTTACCCCAGATTGAGTTTGGCTCGTTTATAAACGAGTCGAGCTCGAGCTCAACTCGTTTATTAACGAGCCGAGTCGAGGTCGAGCTAGCTTGTTTACTAAAATCTTGACTTTTATTTGACACTTCATTTTGTATATCATGGTACATATCTATTATTTTATTAGCTAATCTCATATTATACTTTGTTGGTATCATATATCATTTAGTTGATAGTTTTTAACTACTCCATATCATGTTATTTCATAGTATCGAAGCAAACTATGATACATAATTTCTTTTTAAAGTAGAAAATAGGATACATTTGCTCACATACTCAACGTGTTAACCTTTATATATGGTGAGATAAATAATTTAACAACCATATGAATTAAAATCATAAGATATAGATTGACTCGTCCATATGTCGGTCATTTGCAGCCCTTTATACAACTATCTTGAAATCACTGAGTAGAATGCTACATAACACATTAACACGGTTATGTATGATTATTAATTATCTCAAAATAAAACGATTAAATCAAATTAATTAATCCGTTATAAATTCTCATACAAGCTATCCAAACCTTATCTATCTCAACTCTCAAGCCGTCAACATCCCTCTGAAATTCAAAAATAAGATTAGGAACCTCATAATTTCGTCTTGTGAAAAAAATCCTCTTTAACCATTTTTTTTTGTGTCCACACATTGAAGGCTATGATTCACCATTATCTCTGTATATTCGAGTTTTCACTTTTCAAAAGCCAACCCATTTTCGTGGTTCTCCTCAATCATTAATCCGTGAACGACAAAAACAACTACGGCAAAAAAAAAAAAAAAAAAAACCCCCACCGTAACTTTCAAATTCCGGTAAAACAACAAAAAAGCTAACCATATTACAAATGATACTTCACTTTACACGGCAGCGCGATTGGTCTCTTCGTTGACTACGGTCAAACTTAAGAGAAGCAAAAATTAAGTTTGGATTGTAATTAATTTGTACTATAGACTCTAGAAATAACATCTATTTTTTCTTTTTTTAGTGTCTTAATGCTATTGCTGAGGAACACTCGGGAACAAAGAAAGGCATAGAACGAAAGCCATGCACGTTTCTTTCTTTCTTCTTTGCATAATAATATTAAAACGAAATGTGATAAAAATCCCCAAAAAGTTCCAAAAATTCTATTAATTAAATTTACATATATTATAGTCATCGTCATCATCCTTCCCACCCGAAAACCAATCACTAGTTTACTACTTAAAAGGCGGCACCGCAAAAGCCTTGAGATCATCTTAACCCATTTCTCCTCTCCGTCTTCTTCCTTCCTTTTTCCCCCTCTTTTCTCTCCGGCCGCCATGGCTCTGACGTCGTCTCAGCCGTTGCTCCAGAGCTTCCGGGCATCCAACCTCGAGGACGTCAGCTCCGAGCTCGAGGAGATCCTAACCGACACCCAGACGCCGTACCGCCGGCGGCTGACCGCGGCGACCAAAGTCGAGCTCGCGCTGCTCTTCAAGCTGGCCGCGCCGGCCGTCATCGTCTACCTCCTCAACAATGTCGTCTCCATGTCCACACAGATCTTCTGCGGCCACCTCGGCAACCTCGAGCTCGCCGCCGTCTCCCTCGGCAACACCGGCATCCAAGTCTTCGCCTACGGCCTCATGGTAATTAATGGATTCCCAACTTATTACTCTCTTTCTCCCCGCATAAAATCCGGCAACCCTTTTTTTTTGCGACGGGAAAACGGTCGCTGAAAGAAAGACAATGGTCGCCAAAACCTTTTAGCCACCATATATATTCGTCACAAAAAGCTCGCATCCCCCCCAAAAAAATTCTGTTGAACCTTTATTCACGAAAAAACCCAGCTTGATTCATGACTTTCACTTTGAAAAGGGTTTGAGCTCGGTCATTAATTCTTGTATTACGTAAAGTGTTATATGACGGTTCATATCGTGATTGTCGTTGATATGATCTGAATCAGACGATTTTGCTACGATTGGAACTCACGAGAGAGTTTCCTCTCTAATCTTTTATTTCCTTGAAGTATAGTGAAAACTGACTCTCTCCTGCCTTTAGACTACCTAACACACATCGTATTATTGAATCACATAAACCCATTTGTCGTGTTCGTTCTTGCTTTCGCTTTTTTTGTTTTGTCGAATTCTCCGATTTCCCAATCCATAGAAATAGTGGTGACATATTTTTCTCGTATCTTGCTGTTTCTAAAAAAAAACCTTTGCTAACGAGTTGTTTTGTGCCACGTGTCGCGCGGCAGCTCGGGATGGGCAGCGCAGTAGAAACGCTCTGCGGGCAAGCCTACGGCGCCAGCAGATACGAGATGCTCGGAATCTACCTCCAACGATCAACGATCCTCCTCGTCGCCACCGGAATCCCCTTGACGGTGATCTACATCTTCTGCAAGCCGATCCTCATCCTCCTCGGCGAGCCGGCCAACATCGCCGCGGCGGCGGCGATCTTCGTGTACGGCCTGATCCCGCAGATCTTCGCCTACGCGGCCAACTTCCCCATCCAGAAGTTCCTCCAGTCGCAGAGCATCATCGCACCCAGCGCGTACATCTCACTCGTCGCGCTGGTGGTCCACCTGGCGCTGACGTGGGTGGCCGTGTTCAAGTGGCAGTGGGGCCTGCTGGGTGCGGGCCTGATTCTGAGCTTCTCGTGGTGGCTGATTGTGGTCCTGCAGTTTGTGTATATAGTGACGAGCAAGCGGTGCCGGAAGACGTGGCAGGGTTTTAGCGTCCAGGCGTTTTCCGGTCTGGGGGCGTTTTTCAAGCTCTCTGCTGCGTCGGCGGTGATGTTGTGCTTGGAGACTTGGTACTTTCAGATCTTGGTGCTCGTCGCCGGGCTGCTGCCCGACCCGGAGATCGCCCTCGATTCGCTCTCCGTCTGGTAAGTCGTTTCGTCGCGACTGACTACCAACTGGTTACGAGAACTCGAATCCAACATTTAGTTTTGATTTTTCTTACTTAAATATATAAAAAAAGCGGAGATCGTATTGTGCGATTCGTGGTGATTTATTTTAATGTTTCGTCCATCGAGAAAAGTTTCAAACTTTTTTAATTACGATGTACATGAAGTTGGTGCTTCAAATCCTGACCTCGTTATACGATTAGTGACTTTTTGATATACCAATTTACTTTTGACATTTTACTAGTTATGAAGAGTTGAATATGAAACATTAAATCTACAGATGAACCAGTAATTGGGGTGTAGCAAAATTATTGATTGTCGAACATATGAAGACTAACATTGGCGTCTCTCGAGTTTGAGTTACTAGAAACTCGAACATGTCCTTCTTTATCTTACAATATATATTAGACAACGCTCGTAATGTCATACCTAATTCAATAACTAATGTAGTTTAAAACATGGCTATGTTTTGTTCCGGACGAAATGTGTCGATTTATTGCACTCTCGATGAAACATAGAGGTGGCAATTGGATCGGATTCGTGGATCCGTGGATCGGATTCGTGGATCCATGGATCAAATGGATTGGATCCAATGGATTGGTGGATTCATGGATTGGATCCAATGGATTGGTGGATTGATCCATGAATCCAAATAACATCCAAGGCTTGGACCAAAATATAAATTTTGAAAAGTTTAGGTACTAAAATGTCATAATGGAAAATTTTAGGTACCAAAATGTAATTTTCCAATGATATTTTTCGTATAAAAATATAAATTTTAGGTACCAAAATGTAAAATATAAAAAATATAGGTACCAAATCGTAATTTGTCATTTGGATCCGTGGATTGATCCATGAATCCACCAATCCAATTGGATTTGGATCAAATGGATTGGATTTAAATGGATTGGATTAGGTGGATAATTTGGTGGATGGATTGGATTGGATTCATGGATTTGGATCCTAATTGCCACCTCTAATGAAACACACTAGTGTTCTTCACCCTCCTAATTTAATGTATTAATTAAATGATGATGGGTTGCATTGATGGCCTAACGAATTGCTGTTAATGTTGGATCCATAATATTTTTGCAGCATGACGATCTCTGGATGGGTTTTCATGATCTCCGTCGGCTTCAACGCTGCTGCCAGGTCAGTCATCAACTCCCACGGCCACCCAACAAACTCTTATCTCTTCATCTTTGACTTCTGACACAGCGATCCACAAATTTGTCCCATTCTGGCCACGTCGTCGGATAAAAAAAAAAGCGAACGAATATTTTTTTTTTTGACATTTTTACCATTCTACCCTTATTTTCAGCGTCCGGGTGAGCAACGAGCTCGGCGCCGGGCACCCGAAGGCGGCGGCGTTCTCGGTGGTGATCGTGACGTGGTCGTCGTTCGTGATCGCGGTGGTGGCGGCCGTCGTGGTGATGGTTTTCCGCGACGTGCTGAGCTACGCGTTCACGGAGGGCGAGGTGGTGGCGGCGGCGGTGTCGGAGCTCAGCCCGTTCTTGGCGGTGACTCTCATCTTGAACGGCATCCAGCCGGTTCTCTCCGGTACCGTCTTTAATTACTTCGTCTCTTCCTAACCCTAAATTAGATCTATACAATACAAGATTGAAGATTAAATGTGAATGGTAATTAATACAAAGGGGAATGGGTTGATTTTTTTTTTTTTAGGGGTGGCTGTGGGATGTGGATGGCAAGCGTTTGTGGCGTATGTGAACGTGGGTTGTTACTACATCATTGGTGTTCCCGCTGGGGTTCTTCTTGGCATCACATTCAATCTTGGATCTAAGGTGAGAACAACCCGTAACTATCTCTTAACATTCGGTTTCAGTTACGACCAGAAAAAAAAAACTCATCCGATCGAACTGCAAGTCAAATTCTATCTTATCGATAGATAAAACATATGATAAAACATTAGAAAGTGGTAGCGAGGATGAGAGCCAGTAACCCCGTTACTCCTCGGACATTTAGATTCAGTCATGTGAAGCTGTTTTGCGGTTGTCATTATAACCAGCGGCGGATCCAGGGGGGGCCGCTTTGGGCCACGGCCCAGTCCTCCTCTGGATCCAGCTAGTATTTTTTCGGTGTATTTTTCGGTTTTGTTGGGTTACGGTCCAATCCTCTCCACCTCTTTTCAAATACGGCCCAGTGCTCTACCCTGTTATGGATCCGCCGCTGATTATAACCCCTCCTCATTATAAGTTCTAGCTTTGCCACTGATCATTATGATACATCTACTTAGAATCGGTCGTGACTCTGTTTTTCTTGTCTCCCACATTCCTAAATTTTTATGAATTTTGACCGATTGATACGTGTGGAGGTAAGTAACGTTTGTGGTCCATATGTTTTACCTTTTGGTGGATGGTAGGGCATATGGACAGGGATGATCGCAGGCACCTTCTTGCAAACATTGATTCTACTTTGGACCACCTACAGGACCGACTGGAAAAGAGAGGTACGTCTCCTGGTTAAGCTCGTTTCGCTTTCTCAATACACCTATCTATCTGTCTGCTCTGCTCTTGTCACTATTTATCGGTACACAAATGATCCGAAACGCAAAAACATTATTCGTCACGAGCACTTCTACTATGCTAAATAGTATTGGTGCTTTCATGTACAATTTTAGGTTGTATCATAACAATAAATGTATAGTTTAGGTTGTACCATAAAGGAATTTGTACCATTATGTTATGGTACAACTTTACAACTTGAAGTTGTACCATCACATAAAGGTACAAGTTCAAGTTGTACCATAAAAGAATTTGCACAAAAAGTATAGTTACAATTTAAAGTTGTACCATAACGTTAAAAGTACAATTTCAAATTGTACTATAAAGACAAAAACCTATAGGACCAATGCTTATATAGTATTGTAAAATTCCTCTCTTGGTGGCAACTAGAGAAAGAGCTTTTTGCGACGAGAAAATAAAAGTATCACCCGACCTTTTCGTTTGGTGACAAAAAGGTCCTTTTCTGTGGTGCTTAAATCGCGGGGAGCAAAAAGGCGGTCCATAAATCGCGGGGACCAGAACCGAATTTCTGGAACAGACCGACCGACCGACCATTGTTCTTGTGGTGGTAGGGTTCGCAGGTGCTTTTTTGGGTTTTTACTTTTTACCCATAAGCCCATTCTAGAATATCTACGTGGGCCAGTGGTGTTTAAGTAGATGGGCCTCTTGCTGTTTATTTATTATTAAAGCTACTTTTATGTGCGGTTCCATGATGGGCCGGCCATATTTTTGGACAGCAGCTCTGGGCCAAAACTCTTTTACTTCACTATACGTAACATCAAATCAATTGGTTGATTTAATGGGGGAAAAAGAACATCAGATCAATTGGTTCCAAACTTTCAAGAACTAAAGTTGTTGAGAAGCATATGAATTTTAATCACTTTTTTTTACATGTTTTCCTCAAAAGAAATTATAATGATGAGTTTGAAGTTGCATATGGTCGACATATGAGTTTTAAGACAACACTTTAATAATGAAGGCCATTAGAATTCGAACAAGCGATATTAGGTATAAACCAATTATAATACCATGTTATAAACAACTTAGTCTCAATAACTCAAATTGTTTGAGAAGATCCGTGGGTAAATTTTAATCACTTTTTTACATAGTTTGGTCGGTTAACTGTATTTTGTTTTTATTTGAGTTTTTTCCTATATAGTTGTATAGTTTGTATACATATAGTTGAGCTTCAACTTGAATTTGTGTTCTTGGTTTCAGGTGGACAGGGCCAAAGATCGGCTAACAACGTGGGAGGATAAGAAGGAAGCTGTCGCCGAGAACGAAGAAAGATTGTTGTCTTCTTAGGTATATAGAAAATTAAACATATGCATGCAATTCGTGGATTCATGCATGTTCTTCCCTTTAGCGAATGAGGAGTGATCTTTCTTTCTTTTCCCCTTTGTTTGCTTGCCTTCTTGTTGTTAATTACAAGGATAATTGTTATTATAATCTAAAGAAGAACGAGGTTTACTGATGCCTAAAAGCAAAGTTTAAGGTGTAGGTGCTTTTTACAAGAAATGAAAAATCCTCTTCGTGTGTTTTGGTCAGTTGTTTAATGTAATATTGCTCTACTTAATGCTTACTAGGCAACACTGAGACTACAACGTGATTATGACACCTTCTGCACTACTTTTGCCAAGGGGAGGCGTTTTCCTTCCGACTTACGCCTATATGAACTTAGGCGAGTGCCTAGGCGCGCTTTTTAGAACCATGCTTACACCTAACATCAAACCAATTCAAACCAAATTCGTTCGGAAAATTAGAGTTGTTGGAAAGAGGTTGGTGCATAAATTTTAACCACTTACATGTGCCCTTCAAACGGAATTAAACTCGTGGATTTTAAGTTCACACATGTCTGATGTACAATGTGCTTTTAATGCAACGCTTAATATTGAGGGTCGTTAAGATTTGACCACATGACATAAGGTACAAATCAGCTATATATGATACTATGTTATAAACCAAGTGATCTCAATACCTCGAGTTGTTTTGGAAAAACGGTAGTTTGTTTCATTTTTTTCCTACAATTTTATAGTGTGTATGCACATAGTTGAGCTTCAATTGTGTTCTTATTTTCAGGTGGACAGGGCCAAAGATCGGCTAACGACATGGGAGGATGAGAAGGAAGCTATTGCAGAGAACGAAGAAAGTTTGTTGTTGTCTTCTTAGGTATATAGAAATTAAGCATAAAAAGGAATTTAAGCATATTCATGCAATTCGGGTATTCATGCATGTTCTTCCCCTTAGTGAGTGAGGAGTGATCTTTCTTTTCCCCCTTTGTTTGTTTGCCTTCTTGTTGTTGTAGTATTAAGAGCAAGTTTAAGGCATTTTTAAAAGGATTGAAAATCGTACCTTAGTGGTGGTTCATCATCTCAAGACATGTTGATTCTTGGACGTGTTTAGGTGAAAGAAAGAAGGAAATAGAGAAAGAAGAAACAAAGTAAGAATTGTATCAAGCCCAACCAGACTATGAATCTATGATATCATGAGAATTTCTAGAGTCCTGGCGATTCTCTGCACTTGAAAGGATAAATTGCAGAGGATAGAGCCTGCCAGGGTTTGTGGAATTGTGGCTTAGGAGCCCTTTCCATTCAATATCGTACCGGCGACAAATGAATCGTGTTATACTTGTTTTATATGGGAGCTATCAAATGAACGGAACAAAATGAAACAGTTTGACAATAATATGGATACGAAAGTTTTAAACGAATAAAATACGTACGGATACATATACGTGTATTAAATGAAATATTTACCAAGTATGCTTGGTAGGGCTTGCATGTACCTTTTCGGTCATTTACCCATAAGCCCAATCTGGAGTATGTATATATATGTGGGCCAGTAGCGTTCACTTAGATGGGCCTTTTGCTTTATTATCAAAGTGACTTTTATCTGTCGTGCCATAATGGGCTGGCCGTATTTTTTGAGAGCAGCTCTAGGCCCAAAGTCATTACTTTTTTTTAGTCAAAAGCCCAAAGCCTTTACCATCTTGAACTTGGACATATTATAGTTACAGGTAGGGGTGGCTATACGGTCCGGTCCGGTTAAATTGGCCCGAATTGATCCGGTCCAGTCCGGTCTTTTTGAAAATATAGGGACCAAAGCTTGGATTGGGTACAGTCCGGTTTTGACCCAGTCTGGTCCCAATCCGGTTTTGACCCGTTTTTTGTGCTAAAAATAGCTAAAACCCCCGATCAATCCGGCCCGTGTTAAAATCGGATCAAAACCATAAGACTAGATAACCTCTCAAAAAGATGGATGAAGCATGGTTTATGTGATTAACGCTAATAGACACATGTCATCCATAAGAAGAAGAAGAAATTAACACAAGATCGAACCACAAAGATTTGAAGACGACATTAGTAAACAACGGAAGTCCAGGAGCCATAACACAATATCGAAATTAAACAGATCGAGGAAGCAAGCTAACAAATTGTTCTCGATCCAGTACTGAAACAAAGCGCGCAATTAAGAAGGAAAAACTGGAAAATAAATGAAATCCGCAATTCTCCTTGTCAGCATGCCATGGAGCCTTCCTTTGTCTCCTTGTTAATTTCCGAGAAACACAGTGGTTAGAGCCAATTTTGTGTGCATGAACGCCCTCAGCAATTTCATTCAATACAACAACATATCAGATTAAAGTAAATGCATGAAAAATGACCTAAAAAACTTAACCAGCTGCTGCTCCCCACCATTTTTCAAGGTTCAGCGGCTTCAAGCTGTTGTGCTGGTCGGAGGGCGACGAGTTGCTGGGTCACGAGATGCGGGTTGCTGCTGGGTCAAGCTGCGTCAAGATGCTGGCGAGTGGCGACGAGATGTTGGCTGATGAGATGCTCGCTGCTGCTGGGTCACGTCGCGTCGCGGAGCTGAGCGGAGGTGGGAGTGACTGCGACGGCGCGGATCCGAGCGACGAGGCGACGACGAGATGCTGGGTCCCGGAGAGTAGGTGGTCGCCGCCCGCCTGCTGAGTTGGTTTAGGGTTAGGGAGCTCAGGCTCGGCCGCGATGCCGATTCGGAGGGGAGGGAATTGAGAGTATCGCCTGTGCTACTGTGTGTTGTCCGTTTCAGAAGTTACAATTTGCAACCTTACAGTACAGTGGGATTCGACTGAGCTGAATGGGAGGGGGAGTGGGTCGAGTGGTTGGGCTCATCTAGGGCTTGGGTTTTGTATTTGGGTTAGTTTATTATTTGTCCGGTCTCCCGGTTTTGACACGGTTTTGACACGGTTTTGACCCGGATTGGATTAGTCCGGGTTTTTTACTAATTATGAGACCAAAGACGGGATTGGATTGTTTTAAATCCGGTCCCGGTCTTAAACGGTCCGGGTTATACGGTCCGGTTTCCGGTTTTTCATCCGGTCTCGGTCCAAATAGCCACCCTTAGTTACAGGTAACATCAAACCACCAATTCGTTCTAACAATAACTCGAGCTACTATTTGAACACATGACACAATATACAAATTAGATATGATACTATATTATAAATAAATTATTCTCAATAACTCGAACTGTTTTAGAAAATCTATAGATAAATGATAACCACTTTATTACACAGCTTGGTCTTTCTTTTCCCATACCATCATAAAATCGAAACAGTTAACTTTATTTTGTTTCGTTTTTCCCCTATAATTTTATAGTGTGTATGCAATATGCATATAGCTAGGGATGGCAATTACCCACCCATGGGTAATTTTGCCCAAACACAAGTAGATCCATCTATTATGGGTAGGGTTTGGGTGATGTATGTATGAGTTTGGGTTAGATATGGATTTATCTAAATGGGTATGGGTTGGATATGGATATCCATTTACTTGAGGGTGTCTTAACTACACATGCAAAAATTGGACCTATTTGTAAAACTTGAAAAATTTAGGTACCAAAATGTACGACAAAAAAAATTTAGGTACCAAAACGTAATTTTCCATCGATATTTTGATGACTTGTATGAAAAAAAGGTACTAAATATGCATATCTATTAAGTTTAGGTACCAAACTGTAATTTGTATTTGGGCATGGGTACAAACCCAAATTCATTTGTTATAAACCCAACCCAACCCAAAATAAATGGGTATGGGTACAAACCCAAATTCATTTGTTATAAACCCAACCCAACCCAAAATAAATGGGTATGGGTACAAACCCATCAAACTTTACCCATATCCATATATTTGGATTTCATACCCAACCCAATTGGGTTGGATAGTAAAATACCCATGGGTATGGGCAAAATTGCCATCCCTACATATAGCTGAGCTTCAATTTTAATTTGTGTTCTTATTTCAGGTGGACAGGGCCAAAGATCGGCTAACAACGTGGGACGATAAGAAGGAAGCTGTTGCCGAGAATGAAGAAAGTTTGTTGTCTTCTTCTTAGCTAATATAGAAATTAAACATAAGAGGGAATTAAGCATATGCATGCAATTCGTGGATTTCATGCATGTTCTTCTCTTTAGTAAGTGAGGAGTGACCTTTATTTTCTTTTTAGCCCCGTTGTTTGTTTGCCTTCTTGTTGTTATAGTATTAATTATTGTTGTAATCTAAACCAGAATGCGGTTTACTAATTTCTAAGAGCAAGTTTAGGATGCTTTTATAGGATTTCCTACGGTAACTTGAAGTAAGGTAACTTGAATTTTTTTACCTGTTATAGCAGGTTACAGGTCGTATTACGTAAAATACAATAGGCATTATGTAATGGTTACGTAACATATGATAATCTTACATAACAGTTGTAAAAGATCATTACAGAAGCCTTACGTAATAGAATGTGTCTTTACGTAATGAGTATTAACCTCGCGTTACGTAAAGAAATAAATGTCGTTTCGTAACCTTTACGTAATGGAAGGTCTTTTTACGTAATGAGTATTAACCTTGCGTTACGTAAAGTGCTAAGTCATTACGGAAGCCTTACGTAACGCTTCCGATTTAACTGTTACGTAAGAAATAACTATCATTCCGTAACTTTTACGTAGTGAATGTGTATTTTACGTAACAGTTGTAAAATATCATTACGGAAGCCTTACGTAATAGAATGTCTCTTTACGTAATGAGTATTAACGTCGTGTTACGTAAAGAGCTAAGTTATTACGGAAGCCTTACGTAATGCTTCTAATTCAATAAGAATTAAAAAAAGAAAAGGTTAAAATATGGAAAGACAACTTGAAAAAAGGAAAGAAAATATTAAAAAAGGTAACTTGGGAATGTAGTGACCGGCAACTCATGTTGCCATTTATTTTTTTAGTTTTTTTTATTTCTTTAATCAATGGTTTAAAATAAGTGTGATCAATTTTTTAACGGTTTAAATCTATGCAAGTTACCTAACTTGAAATTATACCCAAGTTATTGTAGGAGATCCCTGCTTTTATAAGGAAGAATCTTCACGACCACCATTTGTTAATCATCATATGGTATTCGAATTTGTGCAAACTTAATTTCTTGTTGTTATAGTATTAATCATTGTTATAATCTAAACAAGAATGCCGTTTACTAATTTCTAGGAGCAAGTTTAGGGTGCTTTTATAAGGAAGAATCTTCACGACCACCATTTGCTAATCATAATATGAATATATGATATTCGGACCTTACTAACTTAATCTCTTATTAGCATCAACTGATTCTTCACACTCTACACTTCTTATGTTATGCGGTTCTGAATTTCAAGCACGTTTGTTCCCTCTCTACATGTTTTAATCGTTCCTCTTGGTAACACCTACCAAAAAGAGAAAGTGCATATCCATAAAAAGAACTTGAGTGGGAGTCTCCATCTTCTTCTCACCAAACAGTGCAGATCGAGTGATGAGCATATAGGTGATTTGATTTCTGTACATATTGCTGCTGCTTTATGAATTATGAGTGACCTTCCAGCATACAGCATCTTAATTTTTCTTTCTCAGTGTTGTGGGTTTAATTAAGAAACTAATGAGAATATATTCCTGGTAGCAGCACTAAGTCGTCATCCAATGATATATAATTAGGGCTGGCGGACGGTTTTCCGGTTAGCGGCTAACCGGTCGGTTTCAACCGAACCGACCGATTTTTGGCTAGCCGAAAAATCGATTCCGAAGAGGGCGGTCGGTTGGCGGTGGGGATTATCAGGGGGCTGGTTAGCCGACTAACCGGGGTCGGAAACCGGTGGTTAACCGGCTAACCGACCCTGCCCTTCCCCCTTAAACGACGCAGCCCACGCCCCCACTAACCCTAACCCTAAGACTCAGCCTCCTCCCCCAAATCAGTCGACAGCCTCCTCCCCTAAGACTCGTCGCCTCCACCAGCCCTTCCCCCTTCTCACCACCGACCAGCCCTTCCCCCTTCTCGCCGAGAACATCCGCTTCCACTTCATCTCCCCCCTTCTCACCACCGACCGGCCCTTCCCCCTTCTCACCACCTTCTAACCAGAGACCCTAAAACCATTCCTTCCCTCTCCGCCATGCCTTCTGAAATCAGAAACCCTCCTCCCTCGATTTACTTTCTTCTTCTTTCCGAGAAACAAAGAGGGGAAAATCACTTTCCATGATCCCATCTATCGTTCCACTTCGGAATCAGACAAGATCCCAGCCTATAATACGTCGTTGGAGTGCCGGCCAGCCTCCAAATCGATGGTAAGTGGCGAAATTATTGTTTTGCATGTTTGATTTTCTGGGTTTTTTGCTGGGATTTGACCCCTTTTCTGGGTTTTTA